GGGCTGGTTCCCCAATCACGTGCAGGAAGATAGCTGTCTGTACCGCATCAACCTTCTTGGCCCCACCACTCGCCGCCATATATACACTTGAGATTTCTCACGGACAAATCCAACGGCTGCGGAGGTTTTAGTGACTGCATCTTGTCGTCAGAGCAAACACGAACACTTCTGACACCATATGTAATGTTATGTCTGTCTGTGACAATCACTAACAAGTGACAACAGGGTTCAAACATATAACGTGTATTCTGACGATCCAAATGTGTATAATATGGCGAACACTAGCTGAGCAACTGACGACTGCGCATGTGTTGTGCGCAAGCATGGTATAGGGGGCGGTCCTAATAAAGTACAGTTCAATATGTAGGGAGCAGTCATTATGTTAAACTGTTCATATCATTACAATCATCACATGAACAAACGGCAAAAACTCGTGCTACTGCTTTTAAATAACAGGCTGCAAAAACTTGATAGGTATAAGGATAAGATAATAAAGTAAAATATACGCAGCAAATCATCATCATGTACTTACGTACTCTGTCTGGCTTGCCACAGCTTGCACGCTTTGGTTAGACTGGTTCGCGGCCCCATTGTTTGTGACATGCGGCGCGAGTTTAGCGCCAGAGACCAGTCTACGTCTTGGCTAGCATATTATGGGTTATTTATGACGTAATCGTTGTCACGTGCCGATGGAAACGGCTGCGATTGGCTATTTGTAAAGTGTCGTTCGCGACTGTCGCTAGAGAATAGAAAGGTTCCTAAATATCTTTGTCGTCGAGGTTGTTGCCGGTTGTTGTTGCGTGTGTGTGCAATGGTTCATAGGAAACAATAGTTTATAATTTTCTGAAAAGTTGTTTGTCATTACGCTCGGTCGCTGTCGCTGCAGTGTGTCTTGGCCTTTAGTTTATTACTGGTTGACTTTTGTGATAGTAGGCCTATTCTCCTTGAACATTTTTGTAACTGAGCACACTCACAGCTGCAGTCACACAGGCCATTGATGGAAACCAAACAGTTTCCAGAAACCAAACAGTGTCACTTTTGCTTGTGCTTCTTGGAAGCCCGCCGATTCTCAAATAAGCAAGCGCCAATGGGTAGGGTGTGTTTTATTTATTTGATGACTCACTAGGCTAGTTGGCAGCTTAGTGGTTGCCCAAGAATTATTGACATGCAACGCAGCCACAAACTGGGTGAGTGGACTACAGCTTTATACCCATCCCCACATAGAAGAGTAGCATTTCATTTTCCAAGTTCTTTTGCAGCTGAACTTGAAAAGTGTTGGTGCCAATGATGTTAATTGCTTGATTGTGATCGCGATTTATTTACGCAGTGGCTGGAGGTACGGTAGCCGTCGTTCGTTGAAGCCCCGTTTTGGCGTTAGGGTTAGGGTTAGGGTTAGGGTTCTAGCTCATCTAAACTCTCAAATCGTGAATTTATTTTCCAATGCGTTATTTCGAAATCTGGCGCCACCCGCCGCCGTCTTTGTCTCGTTAAGTATAAAAGCGAATAGACTGCCGTACCTCCAGCTTCGAGACATTAAGATACGGCTGCCGTACCCGTAACCACAGAAATTTATTTATTGTTTCTTTAAAAACTCGCTTACATATGATGGCGCCACGGATACCGGTCTCGGTCTATCTGACCGTGACAGAACTGTACATAGCCACTAAAATTCTTATATAGAACGGCGCGACGAACTTACCTTCCGCCGATAGGTAAACTTACTTACTTAGGTAAACTTAGGCTAAACTTACCGGATACGCTACGCCCGCCGGGTAGCCGGCAGGAGGGTAATTAGCGGATGGCCCGGGTGGGTAATTTCCCGGCGGGTAAGGTGCGCCCTGGGCAGGATAACCACCGGCACCGCCTGCCATGTCAGCCTTCATACCTCCGTCTCCGTAAGGTGAATATGCAGGGGGCTGAGCATCCCCGTACTGCGGTGCATTCGCCATTCCTAGTTTCGCACTGCCAACTGAAAGTAGCAGCAAAAACAGTGCTTGGTGCACGCCTCACTACCAATGTCTCGCACTGTCAGTCTGTGAGTGCAAATACGAAAATGATGTCCGCCGTGCACTGTGTACATATGTCTCACGATTAAAGCGGATATATTATGACGCGTTTGACGTCATGAATCTGATTAGGCAATCGACGCACAGAAGGCTCGCACAGAGAGGTCAGAGAGAGAGCTCGAGCAAGAGTGAGACATTTGGTTTCGGTTTCGCGTGCTAGGAATGTAGCGGTTTCTTTAACCTATGGTCAAGCAGCCTTGCAGGCCTTGAGAGCACTCGATACAAAATGCAATAGATGATGTATCAGTAATTCGTTGCTGAGAACAGTTACACGAGCCACGCGTACGTGGCGTACGTTGCTCTGACACAGACAAAATGCGTTAGCTATACACGACCCGGCAAGGCGGCATACATATATATTTTAAAATATATGAATACAACCCCGGACCCTGCCGCAAACCGCTTTGCGCCCTAATATACTGCACTAAAAAGTATACCCTGTTGCAATATTGGCTTGCCTATATTGGTCCAATATCGGCCTGATGATATTGGCCGAATATTGTTTTACCAATATTGGACCAATATCTGCCTATATTGGTACAATATTGTTTTGCCAATAATGTGCCAATATCAGCTTGCTTGCTGGGTATCTAGATAAGCCTGTGCCAATAATGATGTTCGGAAAATATACCCTGTCCAGCGGCACGTCCCCAGTACCTAGGTTTTCAAGGTCTCAGAGGCACCCCTACCCAGTTCCGAGGCGAGTGCCCCGAGGGGGGGGGGATACAAGTCATGTACATTTTATGTTTGTTTGAATATGGTCCCCGCTATTGACACCCGTGTAAGCTTATAAATAGCTTCCTTGTTTGCTACTAGTCCAATGTCATACACCACTTGACCATATCTTATACCTACACGGAACTATTATATATTCAAAGTTGATCATTTTTCCATCCAATACCGTCGTGACCAGGGCCGTACGCAGCAGGGGGGGCAGCAGGGGCAGTTGCCCCCCCCCTAGAGATTTTCAGAGTAATGTGACAAAAGGTTATCTTAAATCATCAAAGAAATATTACACTTTAAATAAAGAAATGTGAAATTGCGAAACGTTAGGACACAGAGGGCATGGGGAGTGCCTTTGCCCTCCTACAGAAAATTTCCTGCGTACGGCCTTGGTCGTGACGTTACCAATAACGCAACCTAGCAGCAACACGTACTGCCGCGCGGCTGGGTTACGCTATCTTCTCTTGAGTAAATATTGAGTGAACGCTCAAATTAAGAGTTACCAACTTTCTATCTGAGACAAGTTTAAAACAGCAGGGTGCTGTGTGTGTGTGTGTGTGTGTGTGTGTGTGTGTGTGTGTGTGTGTGTGTGTGTGTGTGTGTGTGTGT